GCAACGGTATTAGTTCAATTTTAATTAATCTTAAAAAACAAATTTAACTTTATTATATAATAATTGTTTATTAAACTATTAAGAGAGAAAGTAAGTTAAAACAACTTTTAAGAATTTATTGCAGTAACTTCTTAAAAGTGTCATCGTTATATTCAAATATTCTATCATTTTTTACTCCCAAAAAAAAAATATGCAAAAGTTTAAAGTTTCTAATTTTAGCACGAATATATTAATTAATCAACAAAATGCCTTAGAATCTTTAAATTAGCTCATTAAGTGGTACTGATGGGTCGGGTCATATGGGTCGAGTCATAAGCGGCGGTAATAGTCTCAATGGATTATCAGTCTTCTCTGGCTCATCTACTATCACTCTATCTTACTACTCTCAAAAATTGGTTATTGATTGGATTTAATCTTTTCATAAGTAACAAATAGGTAATATTTTCACAAGGTTGCATCCTCAATGATAAGAAATGAGATAACAAGTTGCTAGCAATGAGAATCAATCATTCATTTCATTGGTCAATTAATTAATTAATTACTTAATTAGGCAGTAAAAAGATGAAAATTTAATACAAGGAATAAAATTCATTCATTCTTACTTAACTTTTCAAAAACTTTCCATATTCATACTAACTGCTGTTGCTTCTTAAATTGAACTGTCATTTTTCAAATCCACTTGAAGTTATTATCATAAGAAGAGATATAGATAGAAATTAAGATATGGTCGGCACATTGTTGAAAAGATTTGTTTAGAAAGATGTGAGTTGTGTGTTCTTATTCAAGTTTTCCTTTTTTGAGAGGGAGAGAGAGAGAAAGGGGGAGGAGTGAGAGTGTTTTATTGCAATATTTTGTGTTAAGCGATGGAAGTGAGTTTCGCTTGTCGCATATCTCTTTGAGTTGCAAATTGCAAATTGCAATGGTTGTTTGTCAGTTGTTTCTTTTATATTTGTAATATGGTCCACTCGTTTTGTTGGTTTAATTTCAAAGTGATAATGAATTGAACTGAGAGATTTGTCTTCTGTCAGACAGAGAGTACAGTAATTCTGGAAGAAGGGTTGGACAGAGGGATAGAGACGGAGGGAGCAAGGTGGTATATTCGTGTAGTGTTTGTGTATGCGTTAGTTTGCTTAAGTCGTAGTAAGTGACATATTGACTTACAGGTACACACAGGTGGGTTTGATGTGATGAGGTGAGTTGACAGTTTTGCTTGGGTAATAGATTTGAAGAGGGGAGAGAGATACTTGTGAAGGAGAGTGAATGAGAAGGGTGAAAGGTGACAAAGTTCACAGTGGAAGTTGTCCGTTCAGGTGTGACACTGTAAGACTTACTTGTGAGAATTGGGAGGAACAGCACTTTTCGGAGAAGTGAAACATATGCACCACTTTGCTTCGCATTGATTAATTTTAAAAGATTTTAAAGGATTCTTTCCAAAACCACAAAAGTAGAAAACTTCGACACAAATTTCAGAAAAAGAAATTTTCGTAAAATTGAAATGGAATTAATAAATGCGACAAATAGTCATTTGTTAATATTCACACTGATAGTAACTGTCAAAGTGCGCTCTGATTTGAATATTGCGGAATTATAGAATCACTCAGTGCTTCATTGATTTTTTTTTCAACACAGGGAATTATCTCTAAATAATGGGAAACATTCTAAATTACAATTAAGAGCGAACATTGCTTCATCACAAATTAATTTCTTGGAGATTTTTTTGACTCGCATGGAATTACCAGTGATTTTGGAGACATTGCATATTACTATCATTTAGAAAAATGATTTATTTAAAAAAAAAAAAAAAAAAAAAAAATAGGACGAGCTTCATTTATATTTATTGGCTTCAATGCTAATTAATAAAGAAAAAAAAAAACCTCTGACCTGAGTTTTTTTAAACGATTTTCCATGACTTCATCAGATTATTAAATAATTACAACATTTCTAAAAAAACTTAAGGTTCATTAGAAGTAGATGTCATTGAATAGGTGACAATCTTGAGAATTCTAGGAAGTTGTATCAGTCACGTTTTTCCCAAACTTCTATTTATGATTGTCTAGAGTTGTACTAGATTGAAGATCAACGAACTAGAAAATTCAAATATTTTATTTCATCTTTTATTTTATTTTGTTCGAAAAACTAAACTTTGCTACATTATCGTTACCTAAGGTTGTAGTAGAATCGGCAACATTCATCAATTATTACAAAGTATCAGAGATTTTTATATGAAATTTTTATGCTCCTAAATTAATAGGCTGTCATTTTTTAATTTTCTTGATATCTTGATATACTATTAGATGGATTTTCTCCAATATTAAAAAATGATAGCTTATTAAGGGAAGAGAATTGTTTAATGGGTCTGAAAGGTAAGGCTCACGGCTATTCTCAAAAAGCAAAAATTTTGACAACTGCATTCAAAAATAAATCCTTTTTGCAACAACTGATATTATTTTGCTAAGTTTTGAACAAGGAAATTAAATAAATAAATTTTTTTTTTTAATATACCTGCTCTCGAAATACTTCTCGACTCGGTCATTTAAATTTTTGTTTTCTTCGAAATAAACATAGAATAGATTGTTGACAGCACATTGTATTAACACATCCTTATGCTGATCCAAGTTTAATTTGAAGAGACTTTGATCTGATCTGAAATGTTTGATAGCAGAATGATAGCAAAATGTGATCAGAAATGTATTTCACAAAAAAATCTAATTATATCAGTGATACGTCAAATTAGCATTTTGAAATATTTGAATTCTGCAGTGTCAGCGGCCAAATGCTTGCAACTATGAACTCATCAACGAAATAAAAACAAATTATTACTAAAGTTCAGAGTAAGAGAATAGCTCTAAGAGATATTCATACTTGCTAATCTCACACAACTTTTTATTTTTATAAAAGAGAACTGTTTGAGTGGGTGCGACAGACAGTTCTTCACTTTCGATTAAGAGAAAAATTGAACATTGCACATATCAAACAAAGTAGAATTCGAAATTTGTCTTTAATTAGGTTTTATGGTATCAGTAAAACTGATAAGAAGCATTTAAGATAAACAATATTAGTATTTCACATTTGTTTTTATGGAATGAACAATCGAATATATTTGTACAGTTATGATAACCTAGGCTTATCACATACAAGATTATCAGCTTATCACATACCTCTGTGAGATTTCAGATTTGTGTTAGTTTTGTGCATGAATGAATGAATGAATGACAAGAAGACACATTGTTATTCAAACATGTGATAAGAGATGGATGTGATAACAGTGATATGTTCGGGAACTCTACCAAACCGATTTTATTATCATATGGAATTTATTTTCCAATTCCATAGAAGATGATTTGACACTGATGTGACATTCCTTAATGTCCTCCTAGTATTGTGCTTCCGTACACACACACACACACACACGCACATACACACAGACACACACAGACATCACCACAATTTGAATAGAAGTCTAGTAATCAAAAGGAAAAAACTGGATAGTGAGCTTTTCTGATCTAATTTATAGTAGCTTTATTTAGTCTATCCAAAGATAACTAATGAGCAAAAGGTATGCATGCTACTAGCAGTGTCACCAATGTCAACCTATCCTTGTCCTACTCAATCCATTTTCGAACTTATCTATTCGGTTGACTACCCAATAATTTGTTGCCTGCTCTATTTACCTAGTTATTTAGTAGATTTTAATTACACTTTGTTGAAGAAAAAAGCTTGCGAATTGTTAAGTAAATTGTTGTTTCCGAATTATATTTGTGATTCGAACATTATTGATCTGTCATAATCAGTTGACACTATGATAATTACTATTCCTTATTATCATTATTACTATGATGACAAAACAGATCAATGGGATCTGATGTTAATTGCAATTAGAAAGATCAGAAGGGGTTTAAAAGGAAGGAATTCTAGAAAAAATTTTTCTTATTCTGTTGAAGCAATAATTCCGTATTTTCTTAAAATATTATTAGTATCTCTAAATGCATTTATCTTTAAAAGAAAATATTCACTTTTTAATATCATTTTTGAGTGTTACATTTGCTTGTATTAAATAATCACAAGTCAGTTCTAAATCACTTTTTGACGTTTTGTTTTACTTCATTTTGTGAAATTGAATTGTTATTAATTCTTAAAACGGAAGAACGAATCTGATACTCCGATCTTAAGTTTTAATCTTTGTTATATTTGCTGTATTAAATAATCATGTAAAAAATAATTTAACACTATTAACATTAAATTGAAACTGATCTATAAATACGAATGAATAAAAATTTGATTCATTTTCAATTAAGTTGCAGTAAATTTTATTTGTACTTTTATTTCAAATTAATTTTAATTGATTCATAATTTTTTGTTTGGTGCAAAGTTGTGTATCATTTTGTGTTTTTTCGGAAAACGTTTTGAAGTTTGTTACATGCTATCAAATGTGATAACTTAGCTTTCATTTTTATTCAATTCATACAACAAGAAATATTATTTATGGATAAATTTAAATAACGATTTAACAAAGAATTATCTTCTACCATTCGATATATAACTAGAATTAATGTGATGTTTGAAAGTTGAATTTTATCACTGATAACAAGCATCAATAGATGATTTAATAATTATTTGTAAAGCACTAAAAATTTTTTTGAGATATGCACAATACTGCAAGTAGTCGAGAAGCAAAATGAAGTATAAACCTGCTTGCACTTTTAGGATGAAAAAATCTCAAATTGTCGATTTAAAATCTGCTAACATCAGCAATTATACCTTAATTTGGTCAGGAACTGAATAAATTGCACTGAAATCATAATTGACTTGATAAGTTTGAAATTTGAATATGAAACTTTAACTACTAATTAAAGTGAATGTGATGTGATCAGTTTAACATTGTTATATTCTCACTATAATTCATACACAATAATACTTATTAACATAAATATTTTAAATTTAGGATTTCTCATCTTTTCAAGCATAGAAAAAAGCAAAAAAAAAATTTAATTTGAAATTGATCAAAGCCAACTGCCACTACTTCGATTCACTTTCTTATCAACACTTTCACTTCTATTTGCTTTTATTGTTCCAGCATTTAGCAATAAATTCTTTGTTTTAGCATTTAACACATCCATCGATCTGAAATTTAACTGATAATAGCATAAACATTTATGCAAATGAAGAATAAATTCTATCCATTTCATTGATTTCAACTATTCATCAGCTAATACTTCAAAGTTTTGAAAAATATTTCTTTTTAATAATTGGCATAACTTATCCAATTAACATTTACTTAGCAAACTTTGTATTGTAGTTTAAAAAGAAAACTCTTAATTGGTTTAAAATTTAGCACTTTGAACTTTTGATTTGATTTATTTTCCAATACATTTTTGCTAATTAATATTGCTGTTACTGTTATAAGTTAATTAAAAAATTTTTAATTATAATAAAAAAAACCTCGAATTGGATGAAATATGCTAAAAATATTAGTTTAGAGATATTTTGAAAAAAAAAAAAAAAGAAACAAACTTGCTGATATCGGACTTGATAATCTTTTCATTATGTCGATTAGTAGTCAATAATGAGTTACATTCTGATGTCTTTCTCATAATTCTAAATGTTGTACATTTTTAAATTTTTATTGTTATTGAATGATTTGATTAAAAAAATAAAAAATTATTCTCAAATATCATTTTCATTTGCATTTATTTATCACACACATTTATAATATGAAAGTATGAAAATTTTATGTAAATTACAAGAAAAGAAAGAAAGTTTTACTTGAATGGATTGCCGAATCTTCGACGATGTACCATAAATTTAATAAGAATTAATGTATCTAAGTGTGGTATATTTCGTACACAATTTTGAATTTCCTCATTTGTTACCGTTATTAATTCACAGTTTGTAGTCTCAGATGGCATTGGATAGCGACCATTTTGTGTCACCCAATTGTGTTCCTAAAAGTATTACCGATTAATCTATTTGTAATTAAAATTGGAATTGTAAAATTTGCAATAATTGTTATTTTAGTAATTTATCTCTTTATTTCATCACACTTTCAGGAAATATCTTTCAAATAATTTATTTTTGATTGTAAAATGGAAAATTTTTCAAATTTAACATTCTTTAAGATGGAAAAAGAAAAGAAAAAGATACTGAAGATTTTTTACCTTAATTTCATTTAGCATAAGCCGTAAGCCTGGATCTTTTTTGAGTAAATTTAAAATTAGCAATTTCAAAGATTTGCTTATTACGGACCTGAAAAGAAAAGAAAAACTAAAGTTTATCATCAAAATTGTTGTATTTGATGTTATTTTAATCAAACTGATCAGTCCACAAAATATGATTTTTAAGTTAAGAATTAATCACTATAGAAGATAAATTAATGCTAAATAAGAATTAGTAACTTGCGTTTTCGGAAAATTGACAGCGTCATTTTTGATTTTCTTATGCAAAGCTATCACGTACGAGTCCCAGAATGGTACTACTCCATAGACGAAAGCATACAGTGTGACACCTAATGACCAGATGTCTTGAGCACGGCCACTATAGAAGCACGACGAATCTTCTGAAAGTTACGTCTTGAAAATTGCAATATCGGATGCTTAAATTGTGGGATTAAGCTAATATTAATTGTACTAATTGTTAAAACTCATCCACAAATAAAGAAAAAAATGTGCCGAATAATCATTACAAGCAAGAAATGGCATTTTAGCTTTTATGTCTAAACTATAAGCAATGAAATGTATTTGAAAAATTTAACATTTCCTAAAAATTGACAGGCCTGTAAGTGCTTCAGGTGCCATAAATGCTGGTGTTCCAGCAGTTCCACATAAAAATGCATCAATGCCTTGAAATTCATAGGAAATCCCAAAATCTGCTATCTAAAATTTACAAAGTTAAAGAAACTTTCATTAAAAAAAAAAAAATTATGCCGTAGATATTTGAAATTAAAAGTAATACATTTCATTAAGAAATATTGAAAATTAAATTTATTGATTTTATTTAAATAACAAATAGCAAACCTTAACATGACCTGTTTCTGAGAGTAATAAATTTGATGGTTTAATATCACGATGAACTATTTTTTGGTAATGAACTAAAAATATGATTCAGTTTAATATTATTAAATAATAATTTAAAAAAAACAAAAACAAGAAACAAAGAGAGAGAGAGAGAGAGAAAGGAGGAGTTAAGAGAGAAAGAAAAATCTATTCTTACGATATTCAAGTCCTTTGACAGTATCACGAAAGTATAGCCATGCAGTTTTTTCATCTAATGGTTTATCCGTTGGAATTTCTAAAACAGGTCTGAAAAAATTTTTTTTCATGTAAATTTGTTTATTTCTAAAAATAATTTTTAAAAACTTTGTAATAAAAATAAGCTAAACATATAATTTTATTATTAACAAAATTTTGTAACTTAACTTAATAGTAATATTAAATGTAATTATTAAAAATCTCGAAATTTCCATTTTACTTTCTATAATTTTATAAATTTAATTTAAAACAATTTTTTATGGATTAATTTACCCATTTTCAAGTAATTCGAAGACCATATACAAATATCTATCATTTGGATCGCTTAAAACCTGAAATATAACTTACATTAATTATCTAACTTATTTGTTATCTTATAATTTGCAAAAATGTACAATCATATTTATTAATTAATTACTTACATTAAACTTTCTCTTTCTCTTAATTTCTACATTTATTTGAAATATTCATTGGGAACAAAAATTTTGTTTTTTCTTTTGCAATCTTAGAGAAAAAAAAATTTAAATATTAAACATTTGAAAAGAAATAAGTAAAATTTATGATAATTACCTCAACAAGTTTTACTATATTTGGATGGCTGAGCTTTTTCAAAATTGCAATTTCACGTTGCACAGCTTTTATAGGATCACGTGGGAATCGCACTGACGAATAATTATTAATTCGACGTGTTGGTGGAGGACCTACGGAAGAAATTTCAATTTCATAAAATTGTTAAAATATTCAAATAATTTAAAAAAAAAAATTTATAATAGAAATGTGCAACATACGAAAACATGCAAAATTTTTGAGCAATTTCATCTTATCGAGCACTTTTAGCGCCTGCAATTAAAATTGAATAATTAAAAAATAAATAATTTAAATCATAATTAATGCAAATTTAATTCAGCAAAATAAAATCTTAAATTATTTTTTCTTTTCAAAATATTAAAGTTTGTTCAAACAAACAGAATTTTTATTTTAAATTTTAAAAAGCAAAGATTTCATAATTTATTCAATAAATTAGAATAAATTTTAATGATTTATATAATATCACTTTGCTGTTGTTTTTTTGTTTAAGAAAAATTGTTTAAATTTTAAAATTTGTTTTATTAAATTATTTCACAGAATATTTCCAAAAGTTAAATGTTTTTTACAAAATTCGCTAATTAATTCTTGTACTTTTTTATTTTTTCTATGATTTTAAATATGCATAAGAAAAGCATACGTATAAATTCTTGTCTTCTTCATTATAAGCTAGTTTCACTATTCCATAGGAACCCTAAAATCAACCATTAATTCAATTTCAAGAAAAAAAAAACAGAAAGAATTTTTAATTAAAATTGTTTTCCACTTTCTCATCATACTAATCACTATCTATCGGGAAGGAAAGGGTAATCATATCAAATAAACATAAAAGTTTCTTTTGAACAAATTTTGTAAATTTGCAAATCGCAAACAATTTTATTTCATTTTCGTAATGAAAGCTTAAACAAAATGTTAAAAAAGAGAAAAGTTAAAAGTTGCAAAAATCTAAAATTTAACAATTTTTGAAGTATTATCTCTTATTTACCTGTCCAATTTCCTGTATAAAGCGATACTGATTAAGTTGTTTATACTTTTCATCGATACCTTGCTGAAGCCATCGTTTCAATGAATAATTTACATTCGGTGGTGATAATGTTTGCTGTAAGATAGATAAATTTATTGAATTTCTTCATTTTTTATCAATTAATTAAATTATTATTGCTGCAAATGTTTTTAGAATTAATTTTACACTTTAAATTCATTTCAATATTTAGTAGTAAAAGTTTCTATTAAAACAAAAAAAAAAGGAACTTTTGATTTAGTGTAAAAATGTATGGCATATTTAAGGATAAAATTTAAGCTAATTTAAGCTATTTATCCATACCGTTCCGGAACAGAATGATGATTTCCGGCGACGTAGCCAAGTGTCACAGTAATTAATATCCATTGGAATTATACAAATATTTTTGATTTAATAGAATTATTATGGAAAAAAAAAAACCATTTCATTGATAACAATATTTCTTTCTTCTGATAAGAATTTTGGGAAACATTGTAATTAATTAATTAATTAATTAGTCAGTAATTCAGCTAATCAAATTTATTACATTCATTCATTTTGAATAGAACTGAAAAAAATGAACCACAAATTAATGCAAAATAAATATTTTAGCAGTAGGAAAGATTTGCAATATCAAAATGTTATTAAATATGAAATTATTTTGAAAAACGAATATTAATCACTTTGATACAAATGTGAATTAATTTACTTTAACCAATTCTAAATTGAGTAATTCAAAAATCTTATTTTAATCTATTGGAAATTAAATAGCTCACTTTACAGATCTTACTTTAACCAATTCTAAATTGAGTAATTCAAAAATCTTATTTTAATCTATTGGAAATTAAATAGCTCACTTTACAGATCTTACTTTAACCAATTCTAAATTGAGTAATTCAAAAATCTTATTTTAATCTATTGGAAATTAAATAGCTCACTTTACAGATCTTACTTTAACCAATTCTAAATTGAGTAATTCAAAAATCTTATTTTAATCTATTGGAAATTAAATAGCTACTTTACAGATCTTACTTTAACCAATTCTAAATTGAGTAATTCAAAAATCTTATTTTAATCTATTGGAAATTAAATAGCTCACTTTACAGATCTTACTTTGATCCATTATAAATTAAATATATTTCTAATTTTCCCCAAAAAAAGACCCAAAATATTTCCTTAAAACTTTACTAATAAAAAAGGAAGAAAATTTACGTAAAATATAATAAGCGACAACAATTTTTGCAAAAAAAAAAAAAAAAAATCACATAAAGAAAAAAAATTAAATAAACAAATTTGAAATTAAAATTGACTAATTGGCACATTGCCATTACAGAAAAAAAAAAGTGAAAATTTTCAAATCTTTAAGAGAAACTATGAATTGAAAAAGCTAAAATAATTTTTTATTTCTTTAAAATTAGATAGATTTCAACATTTCTATTGAAATCATAATATGATAGTAATTAAATTTATGGAATTTTAGCGAATAAGAAGTGTTTGAGAAATAATAAAACTTAAAAACAAATTATTCATTATTTGTCGAATTAATTTTCTAACAAATAATTGTTTTTGGCATTTTAAATGTTAAATGAAAAATTTAATTAAATATGTAAATGAATATATGCAATTTAACAACAAAATATGATTGAAATAAAATTTTTGAGAGTGTTTTTCTCTCTTTAAGTAATGGAGAAAAGAAAAAATATATTTCTCTTAGGATTACTTACAACTTTTTTCGGTTTGAACAGCAAAGTGTTTCCTATTTTTTTCGACAGAGAGAAAGAATTTTAGGAGAAACAAAAAAAGAAAACAGAATGTGTATGAGTATTTTAAGGTAATTTTGTTTTTTAATGATAATTTTTTTTTTTATATATTTTTTAAAATGTTTTTTAATGAGACATTTTTAAATGATATATACTAATGATAAATGGTAAATATCAAATTGAAAATAAAGGTAGCAAAGCTTTATAATCATTTACTAAATTATTAATTAATTAATTAGTTGAGAAATAATAAAAATTTATTAATGATTTTATCAAATGCTTAAAATTATATCAATCCAAGTAATATAAAACAAAAGGCAGAAATTATAAAAAGCGCCCAAAAGTGACAAGCAGAATAGTTAATAAAATTTAAACAAAATAAAATTGCTCATTCTGTAAGATTTTTTAAAACTTTTTTTTCTGAAAAAAAAACTTTTCGCTTTAATGATTAATTATTAATGATATAATCAATTATATTATTAATAATTGTCAATAAAATTCAAATAGTATTTAATTCAAAATTATTACTTAAAAAGAATTGAATTTGGTCTGATTTTTGAAAACTTTGAGATCTTTCTTCTATTAAATGAAATATATTATTTGCAATTAAGTTATTGTCATCTTTAATTATTTCTTTTCATTCAAATTCAATCAAAATATAAATGATTGTACCATCTTAAATAAATTCATACAATAACAATTTGAAAAAAATTATTTAAAAAATATCAAAATATATAATTTTTTTGTAAATAAAATAAATTTAAAATTTGTAATAAGCAAACAACCGTAACAATATTTGTTATTAATCATTGCAACATTTGGCCCGTTGCTGTCTCATACTTTGTGTGCTCACCGATCCGGTTGCTGTCTCACACTTACTTTATGTGCTCACCGATCCGGTTGCTGTCTCACACTTACTTTATGTGCTCACCGATCCGGTTGCTGTCCCACACTTACTTTATGTGCTCACCGATCCGGTTGCTGTCCCACACTTACTTTATGTTCTCACCGATCCGGTTGCTGTCTCATATTTGCTTTGTGTGCTCACCGATCCGGTTGTTGTCGCATATTAGCTTTATTACAATTATACTAACATTTATAATAAATATAATCAAAAATATCAGGAAAAATACTCACCTGAAATACATGTAGTAATAAAAAAAACTGAAGCTAAAAATCGATCTACTTTTATAGTGTGTAGCAAGTTTTTAAGTTAAAATTCAAACAAACTTGAACTTAAATAAACTAAAATATAGTTTAAATGAAAAAAATAAACCAATCAATATGGAAAAAAATTTTTTAGATTGAAACCAAAGTTCATGGAATTTAATTTGAAAAAAATCAGATAAAAGAAATTTGACTTACAAAAATGTTTGTAAATTAATTAATTAAAAGCTTTAATTTTTTGATTTTTTTTTTAAATTTAAAAGAATACATATAGATTAGAAATGAATGTACAAATATCTTGAAATGATATTATCTCAACAATATGTGATACTTTTAAATTCAAAAAGGAATAAAATTTAGGAAATTTTTTTTAATGAATAGAATGACAAAATAGTTATGTGATGATGGCCTATCAATCATTCAAGAAAGTAAGTGAAAATTTGGCTAATTTTTAAAAATTTAATTTAAAAACTGCCCATCTTGAATAACATGAACAACAATTATGTTTTATTTCCTATTCCTGTTTCTTCATTTAAGCTTAAACTTTTGCTACAAATCTGAATTATTCTAGGAATAAATATTATTTAAAAATTTCAATCCTTTAGCTGATCATTTAAAAATAATCAAAATTTCAATTTCTAACAAAAAAAAAGACAGAAGTTAAGGTTTTAAATATTATTTAGCACATATTATTTGAGAATTTATCATATTCTATAAAATTCAGTTTGAATTAGAATTTAAACAATTTTCTTGAAGAATGTTGTAGAAGCAGAAAAATATTCAAAAATAGAAAAAAAAGAAAAGACAGTACTAAATATACATTTAATAATTGTTGCTATATTTCTAAGTTTGAAATAAATCTCAGAAATGTTTGAAAAAATTTTTAAGAATTTTCAGAAAATTTGATAATACTATTTTAAATGAAAATTTTTAATGAAAGACGACATTTTCATCTGTTATTTTAATAAGTTAACAATGAGTGTTGGATATTAAATCAAGTAAAAGTGTTTATTTCATAGCATTGAAATAAACAAAGTATTAAACATTCTTTCAACAAAAGAATAAAATATTTCATTTCATCTAAACAATTCTAACAAAATAATTGTCAGATTTAGAAATTCAAATTTTATTGAAAAATAAATTTAGAAAATATTGAATTCATCAATTGTAGAAAATGAAACATTCGGATGGAATGAAATATTTTTAAAAACTGATTATAGTTAATTATTAATTTAATAATTCTTTTTTTTTTTTTTTTTGGTTTTTATCTTTTTGAAAGGAAAAATGATAGAAATATGTTTTAGCATAAAAAATTTTTGCCATTATGCAAAATCGATTAAAGTAAAATTTAAGTTTCATTTTACACTTTCATCTTATATTAAACTCTTTTAATTTTTAAAAATTAAATTACCAGGAAACTAAGCGCTACATTGTAGAATTTAAAAAAAATTTTTAATTTCCTATCCATTTGCTTCACAAGAAATCCTAATATAGCAACTGTTATTTATTTGAAATTTAAAAAAAAAAGAAAACAAATGTAAGAAAGAAAAAATTAAATAAAAAATATTAAAATTTTTTATTTTCATTTCCAAAACTAAAAATTTACACTAAAACTGTAAGAATCCATTATCAATTGCTCTCTCTCTCAGAGGAAAACAATTAGTGAAATAGAAAGAGAGAAAAATTCTTTTTCCGCTTTCCATTTTTTTCTTTTTTTCCCTCCCCCTCCCTTTCTCTCTGTCTCTCTCTCTCGAGATTTACTCTTTATTATTTCATTCATTTCAAAAAGTTCTACCACAGCGTAAATTGTTGCTAAGCATTAAAATCCAATAAGCATAAAGCTTAACTGTTCAATTCTATTTGCTTAGTTTATTTAATTCACAAAAATATTTCACACAACAAATTGCGCTCAAATTAAGATAAAATGAAATGAAAAAAGAAAAAAAAAACAATAATAAAATTAATAAATAATAATAAAATGAATAATTCATTGAAATATTTGATTAAAAATTAAATTAAAGCTATATTATTTCAATAGCTTAATTATAGCTAATAAATTGCACTGTATGCTATAATTTAGCTTAATTATCAAATTTGATAAAACATAAAATTATCATTATGCATAATAACAAATCATTCAATAATAATAATAATAATACCATTTAAAATTTTCCATCAGCCAATTTCATTCAGTTATTTAAATTAAAATATGTTATTAAATTCTTCTATATATTAGAAATAAAAAAAAAAGTTGTATTATCATATAAAATAGAAGTAAAGAAAACATTTCAAATATGTAATAACGTTAGTGATCACGTGAATTATAGACGTAAATTGCGTGACAATCCTGATTGACGTGTTCGTATTACGTCAAATGGGATAAAAATACAAAATAACAAAAATTTACGAATGAATGTTTTCATTTTGTAGAGAAATTCTTTTCTTTATTTGCAATGATTT